GCTTGGCGTGGCATAGGTATGTAGGTCTGGCTCAAAAGATATCTGCACGCTGAAAAAGTGCAAGCTACACGGGTTCATACGTTTTCTCCTTTTTCTTTATTTGTATTTCTATTCTCTTTCTTGTATTATTATACATGTATGTTTTTTATTCCCACAGGGCATTCCCTCAGATTTGGAAGTAGGCTATGAAAAGTCAATATTTACCAGAACTAAAACCCTTTCTATCACTATTTGTTTCAAAGAACCTCTGTCATTCATAACTATTTTTCAAGAGGATGTTTTTTTATTTCCTCCTATTGCCATCCTGAGAACATGAAACTAGGTCCCGAAAAGTTTTTTGTTTCGTGATTCCCAAAAACTGTGTTCGCGACAACATAAATTGAGAAATCAAAAGTAACTACGCCCGAGAAATTCGCTTTTAGCCTTCTAGCCGCAGAAGGCAAATCCACGCAATGAAGCGTTCTATGACCTTTGTAAACTAGAGACATTACACGGACGAGTATGTAATGTGTTGAAGGGTCAAATATTTTCACAAAATCTGTGACCCTCAAATGGATCACGTAATCGTACATATAACGGCCGAAAAATGTCACGCATGTACAACACCGTTGGCGCACCTGGCGAAGTCTTTCCACTGGCTTCACCAATAAAGAGACAACTTATTTGCTATTTATATATGAGCAAGCTTATTTACCTTGCTTGTAAAACTCCTTGATTAAGTCTGCTATTCTCAGACGAAACGCGTGGGAGATAAATTCAAGTTTTAACTTCCTCAGTTCGTGCAGTGATGCTCACTAGTTTGATCCGTCAAAAACACTTTCAATGTGAAGTCACATCGACCTCGACAGAAAAGTTAGGCTCACCCTGTCATAATCAATGGTTTAATACCGTAAGTATCAATTAAGGTACATCATTGCGCTTTGATCATGATAATAAAAAAATGTGCGTTTCCCCACGCTTGAGGGCGATTTCACTTAGTTTGGCGCGTCTTCGCTCTTGCCGACTAAAATTGCCAACGATGCAGCGAGGTGAGATTACTCAAGAGTTTACACTTCTTGAAATATTTTTCTCCCTCTCGCAACAATGCAACAGACATTTTTTATCCTATGTAGTGTACGTGTATCAGTCGTATTGCGTCTTCGCAGTGATGCCAAATAAGTAATCGAGTGTCTAAGAAGCCCTCAATTCAACCTAAAACTCTAATCGATAGAGTCATGATGGCGCAGTTATCTTGTTCATTTCAACTAACTGTAACTCCAAATGTTATTTTTCTCGCGCTGGCCAGGGACGGCAACGGCTCATACCCCTAATTTCGTGGGTGTACAGCATAAAAGAACATTTGAGAGACGTCAATGTATACCAAACATGAGTCTCGTCTGAGAAGAAGATTATTCTAGCTCGTATTGACTTATTTGGAGATTACGAAGGCCGCGATTTCACGATATGCCTCAAATATCATGGAAAACTTCGTGTAAGATTCAGACCTTCGGGTTCGTAGATGCCAGTTTCCTCCTCATAAAAATCGAAGACGTAAAGTTGAGAGAGAGATAAATCTGAAGATGTCAAAAGAAATCAAAGCTGGTGGCGAGTCTCTCTTGTAGCAAGGTGACTGTAAACCTAATAGAACGCGTACTGTAACTCTTATCTAAATGAATACGGAAAAAGGGCAAGAAGAGCGCTTATCTGAACATCAGTTTTCCTAACTGGTGATTTGTGACAGAGATGAACTTCATATCGTATGATTGCTGGGGAACGCAGATACTGTAAAGGCGCTCAAATAAATAGAGGCGGGCGATGCTCCCTATGACTTTGGAACTGCGACAAGTTTAAAGCGCAGACCAACGTGCACAGTTTGGAGCACCTCAGGGTTTCACTAGGCTCATCACATGAGAAACCTTCAGCAAACTAATCGTAGACGCGGTTGGTTATATATCAGCCACGTGCACAGATCTCTGAACCCGGGTCATCGCGAGAACCATACTCAATCCATCACAGACAGAACAAGAAAACAAGATATTCTTGTTAAGAGGAAGAATGTATTTTAAAACACGTTTCAGTCATTCACTGCCATCCAAAAGCACCTTAACATAAGCAAACACGAAGTGAAGCCGACAAAAAAATCTGCCCATTATGAGATCAAGAGGAAATGGACGGAGGCTTGCCATTCTGTAGGGGGTGGCTACGTTCAAGGTCGGAACTCAGGCAAACTTCTGACGAACAACCCCTAACTAACCAGGTGGACTTTGGATGGGCTCTTTGGAAAGCAAAAAAGTCAGCTGCCTTTTCTCAGAAAGCAAAGAATTACCTCCTGGACAAGGTTGGACAGGGGAGGAAACTAGTGAGACAACCACCTCTAATGTGGCTTCCCAAATGTCCAGTTCATAGACAAGACCGGCCAGAAATGTTGTCTGAGACTGACTGGTTAATAGAGCAGCAAATCGCTCGATACTTCAGCCGGTTATCTGTCCTAACAAAAGCTGTTTTATTGAAGAGGTCCCCCTCTGTAAGTATGAATGAAGACGAAAAGGCCGATGCCGATGATCTAGCTTTGGAAGTCGAAAGTGGCCGAACAAGGCAGAAGATAAGGAGGGACCTTGTAAAATTTTGACGAAGACTGCGGGAAAGGGTACAACTGCTATTAGGCTACAACAAATACAGATCTTTGCATCTCACTTTCCTTTCAAATCTATTGTCTTTTCCCTGGAAGACAACTGGCCATGTCTTCGGATTTTTTCATCAAGGAAAATTTTCGAAAGTAAGTCATGTATGGGGAATTATTATGAACATTACTTTATGTATGTATAGTATAGGGTATAATATGTGTTGAGTAGATAATAATTCCTAATACATGACCTACCTAGGGAAATTTACCGGAAATCTACTGGTCAAAATATTGCTGGCTAAGTCTTAAATGAATTTTACAAGTCACGTAGTTAAACGCCGGTGTCCCAGCGGAATTGGACCCCCCTAGATTTGGACCCCCCTGGTCCAAATCCGCTAGCGGATATGGACCCCCCTATCCAAATCCGCTAGTGGATATGGATCCCCCAACAAAAAGTGAATGAAAACATCATCCTTAACGTTCTGGTAAAAATGGATGATACTTTATGTTCCAGTGCGTACTAAAGTATGTTTTCAATTCAAAACATGCGTATAGTTAATGCATACGAACTGACATCCCGTCGGATGTTTCTTTTGACCAAGGGAAAATGGGCAAGAATTTAGTTTAATGTCTGGAGAGAGGTCATTTTTGAACCTTTTCCGCGATAGCCGAACACCCCTAGATTCAATAAGAGACAAACTTGTCACACTAATTTATTTTAATTTATTTTGTCATTGTTCAATGCTTCAATGTTGGGACGACATGGTACAGTGCGAGTTGTGCGAGGAATGGTTACACATGAGCTGCGAGGGATTTAAGACTGCCCCGGAGGGCGAATGGCTGTGCAGATTACAAGACTCTAGACGTCTTCGTAATTGTTAAGGTGTTATTTCGGATCCCTCAATAGTTAATAATCGTTAAAATTAGAAAATAAGATTGAGTTCAATGTAATAGTCTCCACTTTTGTTAAGACTGTGACGTTAATGTTCATTTGCATCTGAAAATAAGCTGAGAGTTCCAATAGTTCAGAATAGAAAAATTTTTACTTATCATAGGCTTTACGAACGACTTGTAATAGGAGTAGTTTCTTCGTTCTTGTTCAAAAACTGTTTAATGTTATTATTTTAGAAAATCAGACTGAGTTATTTTTGTGACTGGACGCAATAGTCTTCACTTTTGTTATGACGCTTCGTATCAATGTAGTTTGTACACATCAGCAGTTTGTTCACATCTAATTCTAGCGCATACTGTACGACTCGCTGTAATAAATGTGGTAGAATTGGAACAAAATAGCTGGTTTTTTTTTATTACCTTTATTGAGGAATGTTGTGTTGTGATTGAAAAGAACATCGACAAAAAAGCTTGCAAATAGAATTAGTGACCAAGTATGATACAAAGGAAGCTTAAAAGGAAAGTTTGGTAGGGGGTTCAAATCTGCGAAGGGGGGTCCATATTCGCTAGCGGATTTGGACCGGGGTGTGACACCGGCAATACTCGAACAAGAGAGATGTAGATTTACGTGTACTAATACAATACTTCTAAAAAAATTTAAAAAAAAACGTAGATACTTTGCGATCGAAGTAAGCAAATAAACATAGAGATCTGCAGAACATTCTGAAATTGTAATCTGGAAGACAGCATGAACAACGCGCTTGAATAATTCCTACGAAAAGCCTTCGGGTCACGTGAAAATGTTCGATGGCGGTAATTGGCAACGACAACACTATTTTAATTTTATTTTCGGAGTGGTAGCACAATTTTTAGTTTGATAGAACCATTGATATTTCCACTCAAGTGAGAGCGCAGAATTTCTCGTCTGTAAAAGCCGAAGTTGTCGCACACTGGAGCTTGTAATAATGTCGACCAACACGCGGCGTGTGACTTTATTGTTTCCTAAAGTAAACGATAATGATGACAAACGATCAAATTATAGACTAATGAGTGTTTTGTGCCGTACAAAAACCATATTTGCTGATTTCGGCAAATCTCCAAAGTAACAAACGACATGCCTACATGCATCTCTCTAAACGTGAAATTTTCCATTCCTACAAGAAATCTCGGGAGTTTTTCACATTTCCTAGTTTTCTTGATCAATTATCTTGTATACAAGAGACTGCCTAGAGCCAGAATTGCATGACAGTTGTGGATGAGAGAAGCTTGTCACAGCCGCAGATTTTAAAAAGCATCCAAGAAAAAATACGGTAGTGCCTAAAGACTTTTTTGATGGTTTTCAGAGATTAAATGACGAATTCTAATGGGAAATAAAAATTAGTGTTGTAGTTTTCTGGTAAGAGGAGATATTTCACCTCAAAGACGTCAAATATTTGGATGAATCGAAAAGTCTAGAAACACACAATCACTTATTTACCTCTGTTGATTGACAAGCTTTCAATCAAAGTTTTTGTGAGATGGCATGTAGCACGACTGCCTAGTGCTCTTGTGGAAACGCTCCTAAAAGTAACTATACAAATACATATCCACACACACATTCCTCATATTATCAGGTATAATATGTTGAATCAAACTGATCAGAATTGATTTATGTTGTGACAGCTAGTGGGGGGCATAACTGATGGTGAGTCAGTAACAATTCATCACAAAAAAATATTTTGGGAGAGAGATTGGAGGTTCTTCAAGTCTGTCATGAAATTTTTACATGATTGATCCTTAAAATATCATGCTGTTGGATAATCAATCACCTTAGAAGGTAATTTTCCTTTTGTCCTTACCCTTAAACTTCCCTGTCTCACTGGTGCTGGATACCCCAGAGATTCCAGGTTCTCCAATAGGATCAAATTTAGGTTTTTTGGCAGCTGAGCCACTTTTCTCCTCTTGCTTAACTTCAGTGGAACCAGAAGCTAGTATGTAAGTAATAGAGATGAAAAGGTCATGGTAAAAATATGATATTTCATTTTTGTGCTTGCATTTCCTCCTGCTCACTAGTTTGTCAAAGAACTAGAGTCTAAGAAGGTTAGCCTATAGAACAGGCATAATTTGTTGCATTTTTCAGGCAAATGAAGATAAGTGCTAGGCGAGTGCAAGTCATACACAGGGTAGGAGTGCAAATAATATTACTCCTCCCCATGAATTTGTGCTTGCCTCATGCTCGCCTTATGCTTGCCTCAATTCTACTGAAAAAGGCAAAAGAACTTACACCTGTTCTTCAGGCTAAAATATGGATCCTGGCATAGCAAGCTTAGACAATAAGTGGTTCATTTTGATCTATTGAAATACAATTTATCCAGTAACTGCCATTAGCTAAAAAGAAAAGGCACTTCTGGTCAGCGGCAATGTATTTTCTCTAACACACTTACGTGGTGACCTGAGTCATTTGTATTCTTCAATAGCATGATTTAACCATCGATATATAATTAGTTTTAAGGTTGAGTTTTGTTTAATACTGTATAACTTCGAAACTTATTATTTATATAATTGCTAACATCTCATAGTTCTTTATACAAGCTGTTACAAATGAAAGAAACATACCTGTTTCAGGATCATGCAACCTTACTGTAACCACCCAATTAATTCTGAGATAAATATGTTCTAATATTAATAGTGCTGTCAAAATTAAGAGGCCCTTCAAGAACTACACTGTTCAAAAATAATTCTCTTTTGACATTTTGTTTCATAATTGCATCGACCAAAACCTTTTCTCTGTTTCCAGGAACCAAAACTTGGCAAGTAAAAAGTCTCTGGTACCTTCTTTACGCTTCAGAGAAGGTGGCTGAATATCTTCCTTATCTGGGTTGTCTGCCCCTTCTGGATTCTCTTCGACTTCTGTCAAAAGAAGGGCCTTTCATGATTAAAATTGCTTACTACAAACTTTTATTTTTAAATGTAAGTGACTCTCCCAGTGACAGTAACGCAGCCTATCACAATATTTTGTTTGGTAATTAAATGTACAAAGGTTAAAATTTGTTAAGTTTGAGAAGCAAAATTTGGGCATGAGAGGCTTATTCGCCTAAGTATATGTACATGCATAACAGGGTGCAAAGAAGGTCAGTTTTACAGCTTGCCCTTTTGGCAAGCTGTACCTAACATCTACTAGCCTGAAAGTCATTTTTACTAGCCCGAAAAATTTTTTTTCGCAAGCAGACAAAAAAGATCTACATACAGACTAGCGACTTAGTTTGCACATTCTCTGAATTTGGAAGCTATTAGATCATGCAGTAGTGCATATTTTTGATATACTACATGATATAAAGGTCTGTAAACATTCACAGAGCACGTGTCTCACCGGCTTTTTGTTTGCTCTCTTTTTCTTCTTTCCTTTTTCCACGGGACACAACATCAGGATTGGGATTTACAATGAAAAATTTCTTGGTCTCTTTTGTTCTGGTTTCTTTGCTGAAAAAAAGGCCATGTTCTCAAAAAATATAGCTCTTATCTTTTAAATAAGCATTTTTTCTTTTTGCCAACATTGGAGGTCAATGCATTGTCATGATGGGTAAATGGCAACACTAACGTATAAAATAAAATAACACAGCTGACAAGAACTCTTAAAGTAAACTGAATCTCGCATAAGAATATGGCATTTTAAACAAAAAACATCCACATAAAGTGAATTATTAATCCCCCATTTTGATTCTGAGCAATTTGTATTTTTGCAAGAGATTGAAGGCTAGAGAACTCTATAGTCACCTATAACTTTGTGGATTTTCATTGAGAGCTCAAATAATCAATGTTATCTTAGCCAACAGTGGGAGCTAGCTATTCATCATGAAAGCGCAAAATTTTCTTGCTAAAGGTCCTTAACATATCTAGAAGAATTAATAGAGACCCCATTAATGCATTTGAACTGCAGAGTAAAGGCATTAATGCAGATAAAACAATCTTCACACTGTTGGAAACAGTACAAAATACTAACCATTGGTTCCCCAAGAGTGACCTAATCTGGCATTTAATTTCTCCTTACAATATCACCCTGAACCACACATTAAGGTCATAAGAATAAAGGAAATGATCACCAACTTATTAAAGAAGCTCTTGATTGTTAAACCAATTCGCCTTGTGTCTACTTTGGGAAATGTACAGAAAATAGTATGGAGAATGTGTGCATACTGATTTAGGGTGTACTGAATTACAGTACAAGGTTAAACAGGTATGAATAGAGAAGTTAATGTGACTGCCTGCTAAAATGATTGCCTGTTGAGGTATGAAGGGAAGGCCTGGCCAGTCACCTGACTCACAGACTACTACATGTCAGCTATCAAATAAAAACAACTTATTTACCTTATTTCAAGTATAGCCGTATCGGGAGTTTCCTTCGTGAGTTTTAATTCCAGTTTGCCATTGTAGCCAATTTCTCTGAACTCTGTCTCCATTGCATCTTTGACTTTCCCATTCTCAAAGTCTTTTTGAAACTCTAAAAATTTCTCCTGTGATCTACAATCCAAGTCAAGAATGATTGACCCATACCAGAATTCCTTAATGATGCCCCAACATTCAAGAGCGAATCGCAATTTCTTTATAATCAATTCTGGGTTCTCAAGGACAAACTTTCCAAACTCTTTAGCTGAGTCAAATGCATCCTTAAGGGCAGCGGTCACCTTTATTCTAGCTGTCCAAGCACCATTAGTCTCTATCTCAGTCCCTTCAGGTGTCCTTACTCCCATGGCACCATTAGCTGCATTTCTTTCAACTTCACTGGCCATATTTGAATACCTCTTACTCTGCCAAACACAAATATCAATTCAGATTAGATTTTAATGAGCATCACAAGCTACCCTATGGGCAGGACCCATGGTACAAGGGTGCCTCTTGTTAGTCTATGTAAGTATTTTTGGGAAAAAATAGTGCTTACATTGTCACCCCAAATGAATATGATTTTCTACAAAAGCATTCACTGCCCCTTCCTACCCCATTATCCTCTGTCAAATCATGCTGTTGTTACAAGAAAAATGAAAATGTCGAGAATTTATCTCCTTCTCTTTGATACCCGCAGTCTTGTATGATTCCTCTGCAGTAGCAGACAGGTCATAGGTCTATATGTGACTCCCACAAGAGCATTTATGTTAGTGAAGAAACTTCAGAGCTGAAGGTTTGTGGTACCCTTTCAAGGGCGGAAATTTAAGTGTGTCATTCAGAAATGAGTGTTACCGCTGGAGTTTGCACATAGAAGGCTCGATTAACTCCTTTGAGTGTTCACTTCGGAGGCCACGTAGACCCGCCCAAAGCGTAATGACTTAGTTCGGATTGATGCGTTCTGGAAAGGGTGAGATCATTTTGGGGGAAGACTCTAAGGAATGAAACAATAGCGCAATTAAACGACTTCGAGCGGCTGCGTCTACAAGTGTATCCTTTTTGTTTTGATGTGTCAATGAACTCCAGAAAATGATTGAAAACACTTTAAGCCTTCAAGTTTTTTCGCTCAATGTTCTCAAGTTTGATTTGTAGGTATTAAAACAGAGTTTTTTCTGAGTTTTAAAAAGATATAAACTCGGAATACCTTAGGGTGGTATTCCGGGGGTCTACTCTGTTTATTGCCGCTCTAATTTGGTTTCTCTGCACATGCAAACCAAGAGAATGAAAGTAGCCTGACATGAACGCAAGCTCGCAAGTCAATGCAGATCGAGTGAATTCATAATAACAATTCATTATAGAGACAAACAAACTCCTTTTCTACCTCAGAATAAACGTTTTACAGATCATTCCATTTTATCTTATCCTGATTGTCAAGAGATGATATATTTCCAATTTCATGCAAGAACTGGACAGTCTTGCCAAGTATGTCGACGTGCAACTGCAGTTCACAAAGCAAGTTCTCACGGTCGTCTCCTCCACTTTCGTGGTGAATGCCTCCATTTATTTCCTTTGATCTCTCCAGCATATCTTTCAAAAATTTCTCTTACCCGTCAGCCATTTTAGAATTGCTTTTTCAGATTGGTGAAGCTTATTTCCTTTCCAGAAAACCAAAGACAAAATGGAAAAGTGTAAGAAATCGAAGCTTCTTTAAGTCGTTCAAATTGTCCGTCAAACGAAATAGCCACTGATGATGACATAATCACGTGACCCTGGTCGAGCTCGCCCCAGGAGGATCAAATAGAATCTCGCAGTTTAAATAAAATACAAATTCGTAACTTTCGATAAAACTTTAAAAGTTTAACTTTAAATAAATTTAAGTGTCAATTTTAATGAATTAAAGTTTAAATTTAAATGAATTGAAGTTTAAATGTAAATGAATTGAAGTTTAAATTTGAATGAAATAAAAATGAAATTCGACGGGAGCCCCACTGATTCGGAAATGAATCTAAACAATAGCATGAATATATAAATGCTTAACGACCCAGGAACGTAGGGACACACTTAAATCGACGCGAAGTTGTAATGTTTGAAAAATCATTGACCTCGCCATTTTAGAATTTGAACTCGTCAGCCTTTGGAGTGAATTTTCACTTTTCCTTGAAGTTACTAAGTCGTTATCTAATATAATGTAGCCCTAGAGACGGTGGTCACCAATACTCCAGATGTCCAAACATCATGAATCTCTACCTTAGTCCCTCCAGCTGTCTTTACTCTCTTGACAGAACCACGAGTACTTGATCTGGCACCATCAGCTGCATCTCTTTTGGCTTTTCTTTCCATACTTGATTTCCTCTTCCTCTGCCAAACGCAAATATGAATTTAGATTAGATTTTAATGATCGTCACAAGGTACCCTATAGGCAGGGCCCATGTGTGAGTATTTTTGGGAAAGAAACGTTGTAGCTACCGAATGAATATGATTTTCTACAAAAGCACTCACTGCCCCTTGCTATCCCATTATCCTCCGTCAAATCATGCAGTTATTGTTATCATGCTCTTTACCCGATTTGATTATCCCTTGGCAATGATAAATTCTTCCATTGCCAAAACCATTCAGAGCTTTTCATTTTTAGAGAGAAAAACAAGGAAAACAGCAGCGTTGTGCAAGTGAGTTTGCCCTTCAAAGATCAAACATCAGCTAACGCAGTTAAAAGGCAAATGGGTGATCTCAGTAACAAGATTAGCACTACACTACAACCCGTGTTTATCAGCTGAAAATTGGAACAAGACCTCAAGCCCAGAGGAATCAAGCCTCCAATCGTAAATCAACAAGGCGTTGTTTACTCTTTTATTTGTGATCAGTGTGATTCAGATTATGTCAGCTTTACAGCTCGACACCTTTACCAACGTTTTGTTGAACATAAGTACTCTGCGATCGGTAAACATTTTTCGACAGCCCATGGGGATTCAAGCCTCCTCAAAAGAAAGGCAATACCACATTCTAAAAATGCTTTTCATTAAGCAGTGCAATCCTAGTCTCAACACGCAGACTGATTCCACTCGCGCAAAACCCTTTTTTTAAAAGAACATTCTATTACTTATTGTTTTTTAGTATTTAAACATTTTTTATCTTTCACTCATCGACTTAATAATGACGTTAGCCAAACGTCGAAACGTCGTCAACATATTTTTAATATGCTTTTACGGAATGTTTTATCGCAAATTTTTTACATTAAATGTGTTAAAAACCGCTTCTTTTTCGTTATTGCAAGAACAATGAAAATATCGAGAATTTATCTCCTACTCTTTGATACCCGCAATCTTATATAATTCCTCTGCAGTAGTAAACAGATCATAGGTCTATATGTGACTCTCACAAGAGCACTCATGTTAATAAAGAAACTTCAGAGCTGAAGGGTTGTGGTACCCTTTCAAGGGCGGCGATTTACGTGCGTCATTCAAGAATGGGTGTTACCGCTGGATTTTGTGCATAGAAGGCTCGATTTACTCCTATGAGTATTCACTTGGGGCCACGTAGACCCGCCCAAAGCGTAATGACTAAGTTCGGATTAATGTGTTCTGGAAAAGGTAAGATCATTTTGGAGGAAGACTCTAAGGAATGAAACAATAGTGCAATTAAGCGACCTCGAGCGGCTGCGTTTACAAGTGTAAACATTTTGTGCCTTGACGTTTTTTTCGCTCAATGTTCTCAAGTTTGATTTGTATTTATTAAAAAGAGCACTTTCAGAGCTTTAAATAGAGACCTTGAACGAGCATATTTGATGATTGTAGGCAAAAGTTCGCATTTTACTTCTTGTTATTGGCGTTGTAATTTATGCACAGCCATCTTTTACTGGCGCGTGTGAAGCATGAATGACTGCAGACATATTATGCATTCAAGTTTTGTTCGCCAACCGTTCCCAATTTTGATTTTCATAAAATAGAAAAAGACATTTTGCGAGCTTTACAAAGAGACCTTTGAACGAGGTGGGTGTGAAGCGTGTTTGCAAGTCGTGCATTCTAGGACATTCCCATATGCGCGCGCCAGATCACGATCGAAATTTACAAAAGTCCGACCTAAGAAAATAAATAGCTCCGAGTCTGAGTGCTCTCTACACATTTTTACGACTCTGAAATTAAAGGGCGTTCCGATTTCTACAGCTATCTTACATTTCCGAGTGAAACTCGACGGGAGCCCCACTGATTCGAGAATGTACAAGAACAATAGCAAGAAAATATGAATGCTTAACGACCCACGCAATGTAGTCACAGACTTAAATCAACGTGAAGTTGTAATGTTTGAAAAATCGTTGACCTCGCCATCTTAGAATTTGAACTCGTCAGCCTTTGGAGAGAGACGGTGGTCACCAATATTCTTGATGTCTAAACATCATGAACCTCTACCTTAGTCCCTCCAGCTGTCTTCACTCTCTTGGAAGAACCACTAGTACTTGGTCTGGCACCATCAGCTGCATCTCTTTCGTCTTCACTGGCCATATTTGAACTCCTCGTACTCTGCCAAACACAAATATGAATTCAGATAAGATTTTAATGATCGTCACAGGGTACCCCATGGGCGGGGCGCATGTTACAAGGGTGCCTCTTGTTAGTCTGTATAAGTATTTTTGGGAAAGAAATAGTGCTTACATTATAGCTACCAAATGAATATGATTTTCTACAAAAGTACTCACTGCCCTTCCTATCCCACTATCCTCTGTCAAATCATGCTGTTATTACAAGAACAATAAAAATATCGAGAATTTATCTCAGTCTCTTTGATACCTGGAATCTTGTATGATTCCTCTGCAATAGCAGGCAGGTAATAGGTCTATATGTGACTCCCACAAGAGCACTCATGCTGGTAAAGAAACTTCAGAGCTGAAGGGTTGTGGTTCCCTTTCAAGGGCGGCGATTTAAGTGTGTCATTCAGGAATGGGTGTTACCGCTTGATTTTGTTCATAGAAGGCTCGATTTACTCCTATGAGTATTCACTTCGGGGGGGCCACGTAGACCCGCCCAAAGCGTAATGACGAAGTTCGGATTAATGTGTTCTGGAAAAGGTAAGATCATTTTGGAGGAAGACTCTAATGAATGAAACAATAGTGCAATTAAGCGACCTCGAGCAGCTGCGTCTACAAGTGTTTTTTGACGTGTCAATGAACTCCAAAGAATGCTTGAAAACATTTTAGGCCTTCAAGTTTTTTCGCTCAATGTTCTCAAGTTTGATTTGTATGTATTAAAACAGCTTTTTTCAGAGCTTTAAAAAGAGACCTCAAACGAGCATATTTGATGATTATAGGCAAAAGTTCGCAATTTACTTCTTGTTACTGGCATTGTAATCTATGGACAGCCATCTTTTACTGGCGCGTGTGAAGCATGAATTCCAAATAATGACTTTAGACATTTTATGCATTCAAGTTTTGCTCGCCAATTGTTCCAATTTTGATTTTCATAAAATAAAAGAGGGCGTTTTGCGAGCTTTATAGAGACCTTTGAACGAGATGGGTGCGAAGCGTGTTTGCAAGTTGTGCATTCTAGGACATTTCCATGAGCGCGTGCCAGATCACGATCGATATTTACAAAGTCCGATCTAAGAATATAAAATAGCTCCGAGTCTGAGAGCTCTTTACACATTTCTGCGACTCTGAAATTAATCAGAAGCCTTTGAAAGTAATTGATGAGGGAAGTGTTCGTGGGAAGGGTGCGCTCGCGAGCAGTTTTGTTAATGAGCTCCAAACTTCTGTTCTTGATTTTTAACCAAGTTCACGGCAAACGCGAACGGCAAATTCCGCCTACTTATCCTCTTATCCAATGGACCCAACAGAGAAATACACAAATATCTTCTAATTACAATAAACGTAGATATTTTCACATTACTGCTCTTAAAGTTGAAAGGCCGACGAAAAGGTTCAATTCTTGCAATTTGCTATTGTCATGCGCGAGGCGGTGTACTTAACTTATGTTTTGTTTTAGAGGTATTATGCCTTTCAAATTTGGCGTTCCTAGCTTTGTGGTTAAGAAATTAAAGGCAAAATTTTCGTTATTGAAGCTATTCTTCGTTTTTGGATGATAAAAAAAAGAAAACTTGTCCCAAATGTTTATCAAAGGGCGTTCCGATTTCTACAGCAGTCTTACATCTCCGAGTGAAATTCGACGGTAGCCCCACTGATTCGAAAATGAACCTAAACAATAGCATGAATGCATGAATGCTTAACGACCCACGCAACGTAGTCACAGACTTAAATTAACGTGAAGTTGTAATGTTTGAAAAATCGCTGACCTCGCCATTTTAGAATTTGAACTCGTCAGCCTTTGGAGTGAGTCCCAAATTTTCACTTTTTCTTGAGGTTACTAAGCCTTTAGGCTAAGTCTAATGTAGCCCCAAAGACGGTAGTCACCCATACTCTAGATGTCCAAACATCATGAATCTCTACCTTAGTCCCTCCAGCTGTCTTTACTCTCTTGGCAGAACCACTAGTACTTGATCTGGCACCATCAGCTGCATCTCTTTCGTCTTCACTGGCCATATTTGAACACCACTTACTCTGCCAAACACAAATATGAATTCAGATTAGATTTTAATGATCGTTACAGGGTACCCTATAGGCGGGCCCATGTTACGAGGGTGCCTCTTGTTAGTCTGTGTAAGTATTTTTGGGAAAAAATTTAGTGCTTACATTGTAGCTACCAAATGAATATGGTTTTCTACAAAAGCACTCATTGCCCCTTGCTACCCCATTATCCTCTGTGAAATCATGCTGTTGGTACCAGAACAATGAAAAAAAATCAAGAATCTATCTCCTTCTCTTTGATACCCGCAATCTTATATGATTTCTCTGCAGTAGCAGACAGGTCATAGGTCTATATCTGACTCCCACAAGAGCACTCATTCTAGTAAAGCAACTCCACCTTACATATTGTTACGTATATGGTTTTAATCTTATTTAGAAATTCTGTCTGTGTACACGTACAAGAGTTGTTGATTGGAAGAAGAGTTGTTGTTGCTCAACAAATGTGGATCTTAATTGAGTGTATTGGCGAAACATGGTGTCAGGAGTGATTTTTTTTAATCTTATAGGGAGCTGCAATGCACGCGATTAACTAGTTATGTTTTCACTCCGTTCAATCAGTTCTGGGTGCGAAGCGAAGCCAAACAACTGAAGCAAACGTTACGTACGACGATTTCCTTCATCGACCACGTGCGTAGAAAGCGAAACGATGTCAGATACTGAAGAAGCCCCCCTACCACCAGCTCTACAAGCTGTTTCCGCCGGTCTGCACGCTCCCCCACCGCCTCAGATATACAATTTCCCCACAAATTTCCCTGTACCAGCAGCAATGGTTTGTCGTGGGGATGTTCCAAGTAATTGGGAGTTTTCCAAGCAACAATGGCAAGATTATGAAGAAGCGACTGGTTTGGATCAAAGGAATCAACTGGTACGGTCAGCAACGTTCCGTTGCGTTGTGGGAAAAGAGTGCCTGCAGATTTTTCGGAATCATAATTTGGCTCTGGTGAAGTTACTACTTATTCACCACTCAAAGCACTGGAGGATTATTTTCTCCCGAGCGAAACGTGGTTTACGAAAGGTAGGTGTTTAATTCTTGTTCTCAAACACCCGACTAAACTGTTTACTGTTTTGTCAATCGATTAAGGAAATTGGCCTGGCATGAATTCAGGAATCAAAGCTGTAGTTGAGAGATGCTAAGTTTGCTCAGAGTTTCAAGCAAAAAATGCTAGTCAGCCTATGCAATCTCATAAAGTTCCTGACAGGCCATGGAGCAAATTTGCTACAGTTCTGTTTACAGTAAACGGGAAGAATTACATCACACTCGTTGAGTACTTCTCAGATTTTGTTGAAGTTGATGAACTTGAGGACACTACCTCACATGCAGTTATTCAAGTTCTTAAACAGCAATTCAGTAGACATGGGATTCCGGACACTGTTGTTTCAGACACAGTTTAGCAGTCAGGAATTTCACGAGTTTTCACTCATCTGGGATTTCAACGATGTGACGTCATCAGCACATTATGCAAAGGCTAATAGTAAAGCTGAATCTTCAGTCAAGACGGTCAAACAGCTATTCAAGAAAGCTAAACGTGATGGTGAGGGCCCCTGGTTTACATTTTTTATTAGACTATAGGAACGCCCCTACAGAAGGTCTAGGAACCGGCCCTGCTCAAAGGCTTATGTCTAGAAGAACACGAACTCTGTTACCTACAGCAGTAAGTCTTCTTCGTCCCGAAATAATTCCAGACTCTACAGAGCAGTTACAGTGGAAGAGGCGAAAAGTAAAGTTTTACCATGACCGTAGTGCAAAACAGTTGCCTGAACTGGAGATTGGACAAGAACTCCGAATTGCTCCCTTGCGGAAGAATCAAACGTGGAGGCAAGCTACTTGCCTAGAGAAACTCTCAGACAGGTCCTACGTGGTCAAATCAGGCGATCAGACCCTCAGAAGGAATAGGCAGTTCTTGAGACATGTAGCAGAGCCTACAACTCAACACAAGCAAAGCAAAAAGGGTGGTACAACCTTACCTAGTGTCAATCACAAGGAAGTACTCACGGCACTGACATGGCCTGCCACACCTTTAAGTCCTAAGCCAACGTTGATAAAAGCGTTAGGTTCGGTTAGGGACTAGGTTTAGTCTCGGCGTCAACGAGTTTTGTGTAAACTTAAGTTAGCCAGATTTTTTAGTCAAGTTTTGTCAGAGTTGTTTTATTATTTTTTTTTTAAGAAAGGGAGATGTTACGTGTATGGTTTCATGACCGTATTTGGAGAATACTGTCTGTGTACACTTACATGAAGGGTTGATTAAGAGAAGAGTTGTTGTTGATTTGGAAACGTGGATCTCAGTTGACGAGTGTCTTGCCGGCCGTAACACATATGCGGGTGATTGTGTAGACAATCTTCAGTTGTATTTAAATCAAGACTAAGAGAATGTTCTTAGTTGGTTGAGGGCGAACAAACTTACTCTAATATGACTCAAACCGAGTTTATGCTCATCGGTTCATGGCTGAGATTAAGTACTCTAGCAGTTTCTCCTACGATCACAATTTATGACAATCAAGTTAGCTAGGTCACCACTGCAAAATCACTTGACCATCGATAACAAACTCGATTGGAGCAGTCATATCGATAAACTAACAAAGAAAGTTGCTTCTGGCATTGGGGCTATAAAACGAATAAGGCACCTTGTCCCTCAAGCGACATTGATTCTAATATATCAAGCTCTGATTCAGTCACATTTTGACTATTGTAATATTGTTGGGGGAAACTGCGGGACAACTTTTCAGAACAAGGTACAGAAACCATAAAACAGAGCAGCCCGTGTTTTGACTTATTCAAATTATAACGCCGATGCTGGTCACTTGTTTGAGCTCTTGAGATGGAAAAACCAAGCTTCCCAGCCGCAAATACAAAGAGCCATAATGGTCTATAAGTCTCTGCACGGTTTAGCTCCAGATTATTCATGTTCTAAATCTAAAAGGCGAGAAACAGCGTATAACCTAAGAGACTCTGAGAATAAGCTTAATGTTCCTTTGCCACGCACAAACTGTTACAAGAATACCTTTTAGTTCTTTGGAACAGACTTCTTCATGACATAAGACAAGTAGAGTCCCTTGGGTTATTTAAGCGTTTAATTAAAGAAGTACGCTCAGGCACGGCATTCGTGGAAAGCAGCTTTAGTTAGGTTTGTGCTTTTGGTATAGTTTTTATAGTTTCTCATCTAATAGATGCATGTATATATTTGAATGCTTTTATTGCTGATGAATTGTCCGTGGGTAAATAAAGATTATCTATCTATCTATCTATCTATTTATCCAAAGAAACTTTAGAGCCGAAGGGTTGTGGTAACCTTGCAAGGGCGGCGATTTAGCTGTGTCATTCAGAAATGGGTGTTACCGCTTGATTTTGTACATAGAAGGCCTTTAGGTATTCACTTCGGGGGCCACGTAGACCCGCTAAAAAGCGTAATGACTGAGGGGCCTCTTCATATGAGCCCGGTTTACCGGGCTGGGCCCGCTTACCGGGACGAATTTCGCCTTGGTTTCATATGAGAAAATTCAGCCCGGTTTCCGAGATGAGAAAAGGCCGAAGATCCTGGGGCCGAGTTTTGGCGCGAAATTAGAAAAACAAAACAAAGATAGCGAAACGCAACTGAGTTATTAATTTTGCGCCTATCATGGCTTTTGCGACCCTTTTAGCTGTATCACTGCAGTTAGACGAGTTGCTAATGATGTGGAAATTTCATCAGGTAAGGGAAAACGATGCCGTTCGGGCCGCCTTTTTGCGGAAGCGAAATTATTCGTTGCAAAGAATTCATTCCGGTAACCTGGATGAAGAATTTTCCAGCCGCTTACCGAGATCCCGGTTGGAAAAACCAAGATCTCGGTAACCGAGCCAGACCACCCTCTCCTATGACCACATCGAAAATTTTACAAAGGATTTAAAGGTAAACCGAGATCTCGGAAACCAGGCCAGCCCGGTCAACCGGGCTCATACGAAGAGGCCCTAAGTTCGGATTAAAGCGTTCTGGAAAAGGCGAGATCATTTTGGAGGAAGACTCTAAGGAATGAAACAATAGCGCAAGTAAACGACCTCGAGCGGCTGCGTCTAGAACTGTTTTGACGTGTCAATGAACTCTAAAGAATGATTGAAAACATGTTATGCCTTCACGTTTTTTTTTTGCTCAATGTTCTCAAGTTTGATTTGTATTTATTGAAACAAAGCATTTTCAGAGCTTTAAAAAGAGATCTTAAACGAGCATATTTGATGACTGTAGGCCAAAGTTCGTATTTTACTTCTTGTTGTTAGCGTTTTAATTTATGCACAGCCATCTTTTGTTAGCGCGTGTGAAGCATGAATTCCAAAGAATGACTGCAGACATTTTATGCATTCAAGTTTCGAAGCTATTGTTCGTTTTTGGACGATAAACAAAAGAAAATGTGTCACGCGTTGATCAAAGGGGCTCCGATTTCTATAGAAATCTTACATTTCCCAATGAAACTCGACGGGAGCCCTACTAATTCGGAAATGAACCTAGACAATAGCATGACTATATGAATGCTTCCCTACCCACGAAACGTAGGGACACACTTAAATTGACGTGAAGGGCAATGAAAATATCGAGAATTTATCTCCTTCAGTTTGATACTCGCAATCTTGTTTGATTCCCCTGCAGTAGCAGGGGCCTAAGTTATTATTAGTGTGTAAATTATATTTTACCCACAGGAGTATATCTAAGGATGGAATTCCTAAGGTGGACGTAAAATTCACAGTGTAAAGTATCGATAGTGCCGCGTAATGAGAATTAGGCAACAGATTTCAACTTAAAAGGTTGAACTGAATTACTTTTAGCCTTTCTTTTGCCAATAAAATTTTTAAAACCAAATTGTTCCTGTTTGTTATCTTAATTGTTGTTGAACAATTCGTCGAAGCGTGACTGGATTAATTCACCCTTCTTCAGTCCATTGACTAGCACAATCAACAGAATGAAGGCGGCAATTAAAAGACATGACTATCGTGGATACGTTACAAGACTAGTAAACTACTTACCTCACTGAGAAGTAAAAAGTTCACGTCTATGGCTAGCAAACCCGCTCCACGAAAACACTTGATCTAGGGATGCAATTTCCAAAGGTAGAAGTAAAATTCAGAGCATAAATTAGGGATACTACCGCGTAGTGAGAATTGGGGAACAGATTACGACTGAATTGGTTGAACTGAATTAGTTTTGGCTTTTCGTCTGCCTCAAACTGGAATTTCTGCTCTTTGTTATCTTAACTGTTTTTGAACAATTCTTCGAAGCGTAACTGGATTAATTCACACCTATTTATTCTGTCGACTAGCACAATCAACAGAGTGAAAGCGGCAATGGAAAGGCTTGACTATCGTGGATACGTTACAAGGCTAGTGAACTACTTACCTCAGAAGTGAAAAGTTCGGGAATTAGTTGGCAAATCCAGCTCCACGAAAATTACTTGATCGTCGGCGTCGCTTAGGCTGCAGAACAACGCCTATTATTCTTAGCGTATCGATCCCATGAGACACAGCGCCGTCAATAATTTATGTTGAAAAAAAAATTGAAAAAAAAACGCGGTAAATTTTTGGAACAGATGCCTTAGATATGAATGAACCCTCTCCAAAGT